CGATTTTCGCCGACCTGGGCCGAAAACAGCGCCGGCGGACCCAGGCCGAACCCGAAGCGCTGGGGGCGCCCGGGGGCGCCGGGGCGAGCTGTTTTGGTGCGAAAAAGCCGCGGGCCAGCCGCGTCAGCGACTCGGCGCCTCGTCTTCCCCCAACGGCCTCGGTTCCCGCGGGGAATCAATGGCAAGGCTGCCGCCGGTCAGCCTTGCCATTGATTCCGGCGGCATGTCACGGGACGGCGTGCCGACGCCTCCCCTCCCTCGCACGCGTACACACGGGCGCGGCGCGGTTATAAAAGCCGGTGGCCTCCACTCGCCTGTGCCCACACCAGCCCCGCCCCTCGCCGTCGTCCAGCCCCTCCCTCTCCCTACCTCTCCCGAGCGCCGCCGCCCAGCCCCTCCCTCTATCTCTCTACCTGTCCCGAGCCCGTCGCCATGGCAGAACGCTTCCCCGGAGACGAGGCGGCGGCCAACGGCTTCGGCCGCCGTTCGCTCCGCGAACAGGAGTCCTGGCTCCTGTTCCAGGCGAACATCCCGGCGCCGCCGGACATGCGCGCCGGGCCGACGGGGTGGAGTCTCAGCGCCGGGGGAGTGCCCATTCCCCCGTTGCCCTACGCCGTGGCGAAGCCGAAGTACTTCGCCGAGGAAGTCGAGGTCGTGCGCGCCTCCCTCACCGACGCCCAACTCTCCCTCCCCTAGTACGCCGCCGACAACCACGCGGCTTGGGCAGCATATTTCGAGCGCCGCCAGCAGCAGCGCTTGGCGTCCACCAACGGCGCGCCGGTGGTCGGCGGCCGACAGAACAACAGCAAGGGGCGCCACCTATGGTGGGGCGTCCCCGGCCACACACTCGAGGGAGTTCTGACGTACCTCGAGGGCGGCAACGACCAGCCGTTGGCGTACCCCCCGGCGAGGGTGGCTGCCCCGGCGCAGCACCGACGTGCCGGGCCATGGGCGCCAAGGAGGTTCCTGTCCTCCTCCTCTTCTTCCTCCTCATTGCGCTCCGCCGGTAGTCCGGCCCTGCTCGGCGTCAAGGCCGAGACCGCGGCGGAGACGCCGCTCGGCCGGCGCACTCGCAGCGCCGGCATCGTCATCAACGAGGGCGGCCGGCGCGCCTCGTCGTCGGCTCCTCCTCCGCGCTTCGTCAAGCCAAAGGCGGAGACGGGGCTCGCGCCGGTGAAGACGGAGCCGGGGCTCGCGCCGGTGAAGAAGGAGCCGGCCGCGCCGGAGTTCGACGACGACGACGCGGCCCTGGAGTGGGCGCGCAGGGACTCCATAGTAATGAAGAAGGAGCTCCTGGAGAAGGCGAAGGAGCGCCGGCGCGCAGCCCTGCTTCGCTTCGCGGAGCGTCGACGCGGCCGCAACGAAGGTGGAGTCGTCGTCATCTATGACAGCGACGACGACGATGCGCCGCCACCAGTCCGCCATGGCGACGCCGGGCAGGGGTCCAGCAGGTGCGCCCGCGTCAAGGAGGAGAAGGCCGATGACGGCGATGACGGCGACTTCAGCCAGTTTTTTCTTTAGATTAGTTTATAAATATGTGCTATGTAATGAAAATCCGCGAACTTCGCCGAAATGTGCCGAAATATATCGTGTTTGGCCGAAATTCATCGTATTTAAGCCGAACTTCACCGAACTGTGCCGAACTTCTTTTATTATTAAACGCGCCTGGTGGCGGCTCTGGGGCCGGCGGCCGGGACCAACTCGCACCCAGACCCATTTTTTGCGCCGGCTCACCCCAGAGGGCGATTTTAGGCATCCCCTGGGGGGCCAATGGCTGGAGATGCCCTTAGGACTCTAGCTATCCGTGTTGGACAGCTTTAAAAAAGGCTATACGTGTTGGGCACATGACTTTATTTGGAGTTTTAGCCTGGCTCCAGCAATTTATACTGTAACGAAGATTGAATGGCTCAGAATATTTTATAATAAATATTTACGAGATCAATGGCTATTATTTTCTGATTAACGTGTGATTTTATTTACTATTTATCTTGCTCTTAGTTCACCGTATATTACTTTTAATATATAATAGATGAAAGTTCATCATTTGATCATAATAACGGCCACACATGGCTGCCCCAAGGGCAAAAAAGTAATTTTAAAATTCGTAGGAAAATGTTCCTCATGAACACAAATCCTACTAGTAGCCCATCAACCAAATAGATTGAACAAATCTTACTAGTATCCTTTTTATATACAGTTTTCATACAAGCTTTTACTGGGAGAGAGTAAATTGCAGGTTGGTACAACCCATGTTTTCGATATTTTGACCCTCGTCAGGATGCGAGACGACCTCTTGCCAAAGCTTTCCTTTGATGTCTGCCTGGTATTTGAACTCTATGATCCGCCTCTCTGCACAGATGATCTCAGGTCGACTCGGTTGTTCTCAGTAAGAGTGTCTGGATAGAAGGTTCATGTTATGTACCATAGGGGTGTGATCGGCCTTTCTATTGACCCCACTGTTGGGTTGTCATGGCGGGCCAAAGAAGGACATGGGCACCAATTATGAGATGGGTACCTAGGTCCCACCCAACCTCACGTAGTCACGTGTCTATGGCAGACATAGCCTACACGGAGCTGGGCGCTCGCGTGCTGGCTAATCTCAGTCCGCAAATCATATTATCATCAAAGGGAGGCGGAGGACCCGGGGCCGGGTCCATGAATGATAAAGACCAGCGACTCAGAACCTTCGGATCAAACCAGGTTTTTGTTTGCATCGGCTCAGAGGCAGTTGATAAAATGTTAGGCACGCTGACTAAAGCCTGCTTAACTTCTTGGTTATTGATATTAGGTGGGTTTGTCTGACCAAGGTGTCTAGCGCCGGCCTGAATTCCACGACGGTGGAGGAGATGGTGCAGGCCTGAAACTGAACGTGACCGCCCGTAGTGGCTGTCGATCGTGTGGCAGCACGACTGACTAACTGAACGACTATCTAGCTTGCTACATCGATGTACTCATGTCATCATGGCGTCAAACTCTCTCGAAGCAGGAGCGGTTAGAACTTAGAGCAAACAACTACAACACCGTGGATTTGTAATAGCATCTACGGTCCTCTTGGTTGTATAATGATCGACCGGTACGGACAATTGCCAAGATATCATTATGCCGACTAATCTCTAATGTCTACTATCAGCCGCCGCCCTTCTGGGGCGACCAACTTTAATCTCCGCCTAATCTGATCATCATATTACGCAGATGGCAGTGTCAAAATCTCTACTAATGGTATCAATTGGTGACTCGACTATATTCAAACTATTATTTTAGATTCCGTAGATACCATTATAAATTTATTTTTTGAAAAGACCCTAGAAGGTTCAGGAGGAGGCCAGAAGACTTATGGAGAGCCACGAGCTCACACGGCGCGCACCCCAAGCTCGTGTCTCTCACGTATCTCTGTTTGACCTAAGTCCACTATAAAATCCAAATATTTCCAAACCAACAGGGAGACACTCGAAGCACTTTTTCCGCTGCCGCAAACTTCTTTTCTTCCACGGTCCTATTTGAAGGACTTTTTTCCGGTATTCTGCCGGAGAGGGAATCGATCACAAAGGGCTTCTACATCATCCTTACTACCTTTCGATGATGTGTGAGTAGTTCACCACAAACATACGAGCCCATAGGTAGTAACTAGATGTCTTCTTCTCTGTCTTTGATCTTCAATTCCATGTTCTTTGATCTTCTTGGAGTTCTATCCGATATAATCTTCTTTTGCGGTGTGTTTGTTGGGATTGGATAAATTATTGGTTTATGATCAGATTATTCATTGAAAGTAATTGAGTTTTTTTTACGAATTTTATTATACATGATTGTTATAGTTTTGTATTTCTCACCAATCTATCCGGTTGGTTTGGCCAACTAGATTGATTTATCTTTAGTGGGGAGATGATTTGTGATGGGTTCAACCTTGTGGTGTCTTAACCTCGTGACAAAAGAGGTAGTGAGGCACGCATTTGTATTGTAGCTATTAAGGATGAAACAACGGGGCTTATTCATATTGATTGGGTTTACTTTGTCTACATCATGTCATCTTACTTAAAGTGTTATTTTGTTTGTCATGAGTTTAATACCATAGATGCATGCTGGATAACAGTCGATTGATGGAGTAATAGTAGTGGATGCAAACATCAGTCGGTCTACTTGTCTCCGACATAATGCCTTTATACGTGATTATTGCCATGAATAACGTCGTTACTATGCACTTCTCTATTGATTGTCCAACAATAATTTGTTTACCCACAGTATGTTGTGTGTTCGAGAGAGAAACCTCTACCGAAAGTTATGGCCCCCGTGTCTACTTTTATCATATTGGTAAAATCAAAAATACTTTGCTGCAATTTATTTACTTCTATTTTGTTTTATAATTTATCTATTTATCACCATCAGAATTAATCCTTGCACATAACGAGTTCAAGGGGATTGACAACTCTTTTGCTCACGTTTGGTGCAAATATTTGTTTTTGTGTGTAGGTGTTGTCGAAGAGAATTTGCTTGGTTCTCCTATTGGTTCGATAACCTTAGTTCTCACTGAGAGAAATACTTATCTCCACTATATTGGATCTCCCTATTTTCGGGGGAAAACCCAACGCGGTTCACAAGTAGCAGAGAGTATGTGCGCGTCATATGTACGTAGTATATATGAATGTTTAGGTAGTATGCATCATATTTTCAAAGTGCTTCTTTTTACCTAATAAATATACATATTTCACATGTATAATAAAAACCAAGGGCCAACTTGCAAGTTTTTTCTTGTAACTCACTTTGACAGATGACTTATATAATATGTGAACATACTTATAATTATAAAGTAGTATATACAATATCACATGTTAGTATATGAGACATGTGGGTAACTATCCCGTAGCTAGTGGTATGATGCATGTGGGTAAGGTTTTCTGATCTTCCCTTGCGCGTGGTTTTATGATGTGAGTGTTTACAATTCAACTTGCTTATTTTAGTTTGAAATTATATAGTATGACAGAAGTAGCTTATTAATTGATGGAGTGTCAATTTTTGTTGTGCAGGTTTCTTGGCACGGCATGCAGCAGCATGGTCTCAACCGTGAACCCTGGTCCAAATCCCATCATCACACCCCACTCACCCGTCTCTCCGTCCTCCTCCATCTGCCGCCGTTGCTCATCGAGCACGAAGATCAGCGTGGCACCAAGCATGTTCCCGTACTCACTCAGCACAGTCAGGCTGGCGGCCAGCTTCCCGGGATCCAGCCGGAGAGCCCGTTGGATGTGGTCCATTATTCCACGGATGCCAGGGTGCACCACAAAGAAGAGATCGTTCCATTTCATGCCACCACTCATTATTCCAAGCTGCTGGAACGCGTCCATGAGACACTGCTCGATGTGCTGCCCTGCTAGAGGAATGAGTTCCCTGGTGAAGATGTGGCCGTCGAGGCCGGCTTCCGTGAGCTGCATGGTGAGCACGCCGTCGGTTGCTGGTATAGTGGTCTGTGAGGCCGACACCATCTCGAAGAGCGGGCGCTCGATGGGGTGCACGGCGTCAGCGCCGACAATGACCGCGCCCGCACCGTCGCCAAAGACCGCCTGGCTGATGAGCTTGTGCGGGCACGCCTCCTCGGGCCCGTGGAAGGCAACGACGGTGAGCTCCACGCAGGCCACCAGCACGCGCGCGCCGCGGTTGTTCTCGGCCAGGTCCTTGGCGAGACGCAGCGAGGCGGCACCGGCGGAGCAGCCGTTGAGGTTCAGCATCGTCCTGCAGACGGACGCGCGCAGGCCGAGGAGAGAGGCCAGGCGGAGGTCGACGCCCGGGGCGTGCGCGCCGGAATTGGTGCTGACAACAAGGTGGGTGATGTCGGTAGCCGGACAACCCCACTTGGCTATGGCCTTGGCTGCTGCTGACGCCGCCAGCTCCGGGGCAGCGGCAGCAGCGATTTCCAGCCTGGCGTCTAGGGACGGTATCCCGCGGCAGAAGAAATCGGGGTGGGCGTCCAGAAGCTCCTCCGTGTGGTGGAAGTAGCGCTTCTCCGTTGAGGTCATCTGGCCTGATCATCGTAGAAAACAAGTTTGTCCACATCATCGTTAGGTATGAAGTGAACCCAGCATTTGCATCTATATATAATTTCCCTTCTGCTTACAGAAGGACTTGAGTTTTTGTTTGAGGTCTGTGAGGTGTTGGCTCTTGGTGACCCTAAAGTAGTAGTCCGGGTACTTCTCCTGGGACACGCAGTTGGGCGGGTTTGCCGTGCCGACGGCGAGGATGGCTGCGGGACCGTCCGCACGCTGCAAACGCCGGATCTCACCCACCGATAGTAGGGTGTTGCTGCCCATGGTGGTCTAGGAGCCTAGAAATAGAATTTCCTGGGAGAATATACACCATGTATGACAGTATGAGTATTATTATGACTTTGCCGGAAAAAAAAGCATGAGCATTGTTTGGAGTCAGTAGTAAGGCACGGCAAATAATAAATCTAATGCAGGTTGTGATCATTTGAGGAAGCAAAGAAAAAGATAAAAATGATCGAGGCAAGAGCAAATGAGGAGTGTGTACTCACTTCTGCGTGAGATGGAGGAGAGGGAGGAATTGTTTGGTCTATAAGATGAGTGGGCTGAAGAAAAAGAAGGTGGCAAGTATATATATAGAACAATTAAAGCGGCGAAGCTAGCTCCCATGCTATGCATTGGCAGTGTTGTGGAACAAGTCATTTTCTGGTTGACACATGGTAGCTTTGAACCGTGACCTCAAGTAAATAATATTCATGAAAAGTAATTGTGCCCATAATAATTGATCATAAGTTGTAGTTTTACCTGAACAGTAATCACGGGCGAACAATAACTGAATGTGATTGGGTGCGCATAGCGCTCTGGATGAAAAGTGTTAGTAGAAAAATACAATCACACAAAAAAATTGTGCATGCAGTAAATACCTATTAACATTATTTTCAAATATGATTGGCGCGTGATTTCTAATGGATTGGCGCGTGTTCCCTTTTACCTTCAGTTCGTTTATAGTTTTACATGATGGTTTGTTAACGGTTTTTGCTGTCCAGCGATCTGGTTGTTGCACTGTTTATGTGTATGTGTAGTGCTCTCGGGTTTTGTGTTTCTCTCTTTTGTTGACACATCTTTATTTGATCCCATCGTGCATGGACTCGGTTTTTGGCACAATTTCTACGTGTTTCCCTAAATCTCTGGAAGGCTCCGGTGAAGTCTAATCACCTCCACAATTGTGCCTGTGTATAAAAAGGCTTTAACCTATCACTACTTCTTTCCCACAGCTGCCCTACATCTTTTGCAGCTGCACCAGGACGTCATCGCCGTCCTAATGAGTATGCGCATTCACAGGATACCGCACGCTCACTCCAGATATAGAAGAGGGCATATGCCAAGTCCTCGCCCACCTGTGGATCAAGTCGGAGATCATGGCAGGATCAGGCATCAACTCTGCGTCGACGTCCTCCATCCATTTGAGCGACAAGCTTTCTGGGATGGAGGGAGTAGTACATATCATTCATCCATTGGTGAGACTGAAAATTGCAGATGAAATAATTATATAAATGCCATACACAACAGATATTTCTTACACACAAATGGTTTAGTTATTCAACATGCACGACTGGAATAGACAGTATCTTTATAGTATAGAAGCTCACACGAATAGAATGCATACAATATTTGAAAGCATTAACGCCTAAAGGCATAGCGCAATTCAATCTTACAACACAAGCAAGAGCATTGTTATTCGAAAGCCACAACCAAAATAGATTTGAAATATGAATATCACGGTACAGGATCATAGGTGTCTTGGGCACATCTGCATGTACATCATATCCCTTTCTTTTCTTACAGCAACCTGCATAGCCAGCAATGTCTTAGTAAATCTTGAGAGTGATGCAAGTAGTTGTGACTGGGAGTTGAGAGCGGTCGACTTACAATCAAATTCAGGATCACTGGTTGTCGTCGCGGAGAGTGTGCTGCCATTGCATACCAACAAGTTCAGGACTTTGGCGCAGTACGTCAGGAAGTCACTGGTGATTTCTTGGAAGCGTAGATTCTGGCGGGACCTGTGCCATGCTTTCTAGGTTGCCTTGTACTAGTGATTCTAGAGCTTTCATGGCAGTATGGCACCTTGATGTATCTGTAGCCTCTTCAGGTTGGGCATGTCCCACAAATAGAGGTTCTTTAGCTTGGGAAACCATCCGGTGAGAAACTCTAGCTTCTCTCCGCTGTAAGCTTGCTGAAATATAGATCCGTCAAATTTGCCAACCGAGAAAGGGATTACAATGGGTCTTCTCTCAGCTGCGACCAGGATAGATGTTGTGAATACAAGTTCTGCTCCACTGCTTGAAAGAGAGGAGACTCCGCCAACAATGCCCCTTCTGGTAATCTTCCGCTCAAACTTAGCTTTTGTAGGTTAGTCGGTAGGGCGTTCAACACCAGAACCTCATTCTCATCACTCGCATTCCACATTTAGGTTGGACAAGAATTGCATCTGAACAAGAGACTTGCAGAGCTGTTCCCAGTAGATTCGCTTCACGCCCCATATCCTCAAGCTTCTTAGCTGCCTTAGCTCCCCTAGTTATCTAATGGATCCATCGCTTGCAGCGCTTGCAGAGTCTGTAGGTTTGTTAGGTTCCTAAGCCCAATAGGGATGCGTACACCTCTAGCATATCGAATATCTCGTATTTGTCCTGATAGAATGTTTTTCTCAGCAAATAGGTGCCTAAGCTTATTTAGCATGCAAATCCCCGCAGGCAGCTCGTGTATGTCAGATCCACAAATGTCCAGTGTCAACAAATTTGAAAGCTTCTCAATCGATTTCTGGAGACTCTTAACTTTTGAACTCCGCAAACTCAAATGGCGGAGATTAAAAAGATCTCCAATATTATCTTGAATCTTTTCAATAGGTGGACTACTTAACTCTACCACTGTCATATATCTTGACTTCTCAGATAGTAGAGATAGTAGAGGGAATGTTGGCATGCTTTTCTCCAGAGTAATGAGAGTTTGAAGTCTGTGTATACTTGAAAATGGTTGCTCAATATCCTTCTTTAGTTTATGCACTACCAATCTACGACCATCTCTCTGAAGAGACCCCCCAAATTTATCCCCCTCATATATAACACGAAAACGATCCTTCTGGCACAAATCAATTGCTAGTTCACGTATGATATCGTGCATTCTGAATCTGTTCATCCTACCAAATGAGTTCCTTCCAACAAGTTGAAGCATGTTTCTATGAACCAACTCCTTAACATAGCTTTCTGCCACTTCTTCTAATGTGCTGGCACCCTTCTCCATGATGAACCCCTCCGCTATCCATAGTCGTACAAGATTTTTTTCTGCAGAAAAGATAGTCTTCTCGAAATAAGCTGCAGTACAGGAAACAACTTTTCAAGTGTGTTGGAAGGTAGATGTAGCTTAGATGCAACACGTTCCTTATGTGGTCGAACCTTGAGTTATTAATTATCTCCCAACTCAATTGGTCATTTATTCTTTTCCATTCTTCAATGGTTTTCTCGCGCTCATGCAAGAGGCTGCCAATTGACACAATAGCAAGAGGCAATCATTTGCAGTTGCTAGATATTTCCTCGGATAATAGCCTCAACTCCTCAGGAAAGTGATGGTTTTCTTTTGGAAAAGATTTATTACAAAAAAGATCCCAAGCCTTCTTCTGGTAAAGGTTCAAGTGTTAATACGTGTCCTAGAGAAGCAAGCGCAGCAACATCACCCTGCCTTGTTGCGATTATCAATCTGCTTCCTTTACCATTACAAACAAGTGTTCTAGAAAAGTCATCAAATGCATCTGGAGTCCAAACATCATCTAATATGATCAAATACTTCATTTTCCCTAGATATCTCTTCAACGTCTCTTCAAGGCTTCTGATGTCCATGGCTGCAATGTTTGATGGACCACTGACTTTATCTTTGAATAGTTCCTTGATTATATTCCTGAAGACATCTTCTTTAGAATAGGTTTGAGAGATGGAGACCTAGGCATGGCACTGAAATTTCTCTCTCTCTCTCTCTCTTTCCTATAGACATTTGCAGCTAAAGTTGTTTTGCCAAGCCCACCCATTCCTATCAGTGTTATCAGGGAACGTTCCACATCATCACTTCCCAACCACCGCTCAAGTTTTCCTCTGTTTTCATCCATCCCAACTAGATCTTCATCATCAAGGGAACGTGAAATGTTTGCTAGATCTTGAGACTTCCTGATCATGTAATTCAAGCTGCTAGTATCTTCATTGTTTATCATGGGAACCCATCGGTTCTCATCTCTGACAGGTGCATGGTCTTTCTCTAGTTCCTTCACTTTGGAAGAAATCTGATTCAAAGGAAGCAGAGATCTTGGTTTTCTAAGACCTTTCTTCAGGTACAAGCAACACCCAGTATCATGTTCCCGACCAACTTGATACATGTACTCACCCACCATATCCTCCATCGGATGTGCTACCTTCTGCATCTCATCCAAGCAGCCCTCATACACTTGAGTGTGGCAGTTTCGAATGTCCATTTGACATAGAACATCATGCATTATGCGAAGCTCCATAACAATGCGACCCATGCTACCCTGTAGCTCTACTAGTCGGGTTGCATACCTGGAAAACTGAGCACTGGCTTGATGTGCTGCTCCATTTGCCAAGGCGAGTCTGATCTTTTCGATTACTAGAAGAAGCACAATTTCAGCCATTCCTTTCTCGTACAGTTGCTACTGTCTCACTACTGGTCGGTGGCATGGTTGCATATTTATCTCAAGACCTCCAGGATGACCATCAGCAAAATGTTAATTTAACTTTCATTGCAACTCGATGGTGGCAATCACTAGGCGATATAATTTTGTAGTGTCCAACCGCGGTTGAAAAGTGAAATAAGCAGAACCTTTCAAAGTAATTAATCCAAATATTTCCTTGGTGTCACAGGGTATGAACTCTTAATTATCAGGAGTAGTGAATATCCTGATACATGCTCCACCATCAATGATTATAATATTGACAATGAGTGACTGGTGCACATGGTGATGTCTTAACCCATGAAGGACATTATTATGAGGCTTTGAAGAAGCCTAAAGTCGAGAACACCAACATTGTTATGGTGTTGTGATGGATCGATTAACCCGTGATGAAGAAGGTTGTGGTTGTTTGAAAGAGCTTTGTGGTTTTGTGCAAGTTCCTAGCAACTCAAACATAAACGTTTAATTTATGGTTGTAATCTTCTACTCCCTCCATTCACAATGGAAGATGTTTTGGATATTTCATCAATATGGACTAAATACGGACTAAATTGAGTGAAGAAACACACTAAAACGTGTCTATGTACATCCAATTCAT